ATGTCGGATACCGCCAACCATGCATCGACTAGGCGCCGGGCGCGAACTGATGGTGGTGGTGGTGGTGAGAAGGAGAGCTCTGTGCTAGAACTTTGCAGCTTAGAGAGCGTGTGTGGGCAGGCGTGTGTTTACCGCCATATTGCCAGGTGTGTCTTTACCACCATATTTATCAACCATAAGTACAGCTGCAGTGGTGTCTTCAACTTCATTAAAAGAAACTTCATAAATAATTTCTCCGGATTTGTGTCACTTGAACTGCCTCGGCCTCGGTTGCGCATGCTTCACAAACGGCTTGTATGCATTTACCTGACCACATCGCTATGACGTTTTTATGTAGCAATAGTTATGTAGCGTTAGTGCTAAAGGTGTTACGTATCTACCGTGACAATCACAAAGTCATGTGCCGGTACAACGCATAGTGCTCAAATACCCGGAATGGGCGGAGCGTAGTACGCAAGAGGTGCACAAAAGGAGTAAAATAGGGCTGTTTCGTTGTTACTCAGAGTTTCATGGCAAAAACCAATCATCAGACAGCATCTCATGATCATGATTGTTGCCGATTGTGGCCAAAAACCTGAGATTTCCCGATAGTACCCACTATGAAACTCGTTATGCCGCTCAAACCTCACATAATGCTCGTTTTGTTCCTTTCTAATGCTCCATAATGCTCTGATGCTCGGATAGCCGTATAATGCCGAATATATTGCCGGCATTATTAGGCACCGGCGGATTATGCCGGCATAATTATTGGCATAATTTGGTGGTTTAAAATTTGGAGCATAATTTGGCATCCTCTCGGAGGTAGGAGCATAACTACACGATTATACCACAGTTCTAGTATGTAGGCTATACCATTGTGTACAATGCACTTGACCAGTGCTAGTGGTCTGCATGGTAAAGGGTTCGGAGGTCATACAGATAGTGTTTTCAATGAAAAGCAGGGTAGAAATCATGGCAAATCAGTATTGTATGCTCGAACTCGTCTTCTTTAAAGTTCTTTCTCACACTGACTAGCCCTTGGCGGATTATACCGGCATAATATTTGGCATAATCTTGGGATTTCGTCAAAACATCATGCTCCGGCATAATATTTATACGGATTCCAACGTGTAAAGTCGGCATAATCTTTCGGTTTAGACAAAAATTATGCTTAGGGGCATAATACAGCTTTGTCAGAAAGCCTGCAGATGTTTTTTTTAAATACCCCAGTTACGACTCCTTGTCATAGCCCTTGGCGGATTATGCCGGCATAATATTTGGCATAATCTTGGGATTTCGTAAAAAAATTATGCTCCGGCATATACGGATTTCAACGTGTAAGGTCGGCATAATCTTTCGGTTTAGACAAAAATTATGCTTAGGGCATGGCCGTGTGTGTATGCGTGGTTTCTCAATCCTCTATGTACAGCGTGAATACATAGTGGAACCGAGCATAATTCAGCATTATTCAGCATATTTGTTGGCATAATTGTGGCATAATCAAAAGCATAATTTGACGATTGGCCGAGCATAGTCCGCCAATGGCTAACACTGACACAATACATGTAGTAGAAGACTGATGGTGCAACGGTTGTGCAATCATAAAACCAAGATTCATGAGGTTTTCGTTCTGGAATTTGACATACGGACTGGTTGTTGTGATAAATGTAGTATTATTATTATTTGAAACTCGGATGTTGAGCCATAAATAAATGTAGAAAAGAAAAGGACATATGGATACGAGTTAAGAGTAACTCTCCATCACTGTAACATGATACTTTATACAGTCAGAAAGTGCAATAACTAGGCACAAAACTGACAGAGTACTGAAACATTCGACGTCCTGACACCTAGCTTCAACACATCTCCGTAGCGCTAACCGACAGCCTTCCAACTTGGAAGGTTCAAGGTTATGAAAAGACCAAAGAGGGGAAGGCAAGCGCAACGAAAACGAGCAAAAGCTACAGTCCCAACGGAACAAAGAATGTCGATTGTTACTGGACGATGACGAGACCAGTACGATATTTGACAAAGCGGTCTAACTACAATTCGAAGCAGCAAAGCAGCACACCACCCAACTTGGGTGGGTCATAAATATCAAAGATAAGTAAAGAAAGGGAAGCTTTGCGAAAACGAATTGTACAAGCCGAAAGCCAAACTCCTACAGTGTTGAAGCTAGGTGTCAGGACGTCGAATGTCTCAGTACTCTGTCAGTTTTGTGCCTAGTTATTGCTCTTTCTGACTGTATAATAGTTCCCAGTTACAGTGATGGAGAGTTACTCTTAACTCGTACCCATATGTCCTTTTCTTTTCTACATTATTATTATTATTATTATTATTATTTGGAAAGGATTGGGAGAACTTCATATTCAAGGATCAGTCGGGGAAGTGAACTGCCTGAAAAGAGAAAAAAACGCCAGACCCACCAGGACTCGAACCTGGGACCCTGCTTGTCATGAGCAATGCTCTAACCACTGAGCTATGGGACCAGGCTGAACCTAGAAGGCGCCGACAAGTTTTTCACTCCAAAGGCAGCTCACAACACGTGCCATACATACTGATGGCACTTAGGTCTTTTTCCCTCCCCCAGGGGACCAACCACGGTCAGTTTCTGGAAACTACCAGAGGTGAAAGAAAGTGATTAAATTTGGAAAGGATTGGGAGAACTTCATATTCAAGGATCAGTCGGGGAAGTGAACTGCCTGAAAAGAGAAAAAAACGCCAGACCCACCAGGACTCGAACCTGGGACCCTGCTTGTCATGAGCAATGCTCTAACCACTGAGCTATGGGACCAGGCTGAACCTAGAAGGCGCCGACAAGTTTTTCACTCCAAAGGCAGCTCACAACACGTGCCACACATACTGATGGCACTTAGGTCTTTTTCCCTCCCCCAGGGGACCAACCACGGTCAGTTTTTTTTGTTGTGAGCTGCCTTTGGAGTGAAAAACTTGTCGGCGCCTTCTAGGTTCAGCCTGGTCCCATAGCTCAGTGGTTAGAGCATTATTATTATTATTATTATTATTATTACTCATAAAAAGGACACACTTCAGGCTCATTACAAACATCTTGAAAGTTTTTGTCTTCACAAGTATACTTTCAAGCCTTCTCATCAGGTGAAATACAGGCAAGGGAAAAGGAACAGGAACAGTGGATTAAATACAGTAAGAAGGTGGTAAAATAGCGCAAAAAGAAAGAAAGAAAGAAAGAAGATAGCTAAAGTAAACAGCGAAAATTGCAATAATGACACAAAGGTGCAAATGCGAGAAAACTCAATAAGCGCGACATGTAGTGCGACAACAAGAGACAACCACTGGACATACATATAACTAACGAGGTTTTGACGACCTACCTAACAGCCTAAGTGTGAATTTGATTTGTTTCTGCTTGCAAAGGTTGGGTTTCCTTGTGTGGATGTATACAGCTTCCAAAACATTCAGCAATCTAGCACTGCGTACACGTGACACAATCGAAAAACAATCATCCGAATACACAGCACGACAATCAGGATGCTCAAACAAATGACTAGCAATGGACGACTCATACTTATCAGAACTAACATCAGAACAATCAGCATGTGCGGTGGACACATCCGATTTCACATGGCTAGTCGAGTGGACCCTAGCCGTTGCCTCTGTCTGTGCTTTAGTCGCTGCCATCGCCGCCGTTGCCGATCTTGTCATTCTTCTGGTTGATGCGGTTCCTGTCACTGCCACGCACGTAGGTGTCTTGTCCGGTTGTTTTTCTGGTGGTCTAGTTAATTGTGAGGTGACGTTGCTTGGTGTTGATGCCGCTGCGTTGGACCATCTTGTACCAGGATGATTCTTTGCTGGACGTCCCCTCCGTGGTCGAGTGGATCGTGCGTGTTGTGGAATAAGGTGTAGCGGTGCGTGTTGTCGGATGCGTGCGTCCAGATGTTGAAGAGTCCTACCTACATATCGGCTCTCACATTGCCGACACTCGAAGTGATAAATCAACTTGGATAATTGGCCTGTAGGTAGGACGTCCTTCCTCACCGTGAACGCACGCACCGTGGAGTAGATGAAGCGAATATGAACATTATGGTAATTGGACTCCACGGCAGACTTAACCCGACGCTGAACCATACGTGATACTGACTCGCCCTTCCACGGTAAACATAGGTATACTGGATTAGTGGAAACTTCAGCATTCTTCTTTGGACTGGTTTCAGTTACATACTTCACAATAACAGACTCGGGGTATCCATTGAGACGAAAAAGCGCACGTAACTTCTCCAACTCCTGCTCCAACCTTGAAGACGAACAAAGGCGACGTGCACGATCCACCAAATTACGCAACAAATTGATCTTATACAGTGTCGCGCAAAACGAATCCCAAACAATGTACAAGCCAGTGAACGTAGGCTTGCGATAGACCGACGTGACAACACCACCATCAATTGACTTCTCAACGAGCACATCAAGAAAAGGTAGACGATCTGACTCCTCAAATTCACACGTGAAATCCAACATACCATCAACAACCTTCCTCAGCAGATCACGAAATTGGAGGCACTGAGCCTCAGACTGAAAATACGAGAAAGAATCATCGACAAATCTCAAATCTCGATAAATTATGCGCCTTTCTTGATAGGTTGGTTGAGTCGAAGGAACTGATTGACTATGAGGCTAAGCTGCTTAAGCCTTTGGGTTCAGCTCGCCCTAGAATGTATGGCTTACCGAAGATTCATAAGAGGGATTGTCCTGTCCGGCCCATCCTTTCTATGTTAGGTTCTCCCCAGTATAAGATTTCTCGCTGGCTGTGTAGAATGTTGCAACCCGTTTTAGAATTATACAGTCGGTATGTAGTTCGCGATAGTTTTCAATTTGTCGATATTCTGCGCGACCACTCCTTCCCCGATACCTATGTTATGTGCTCTTACGATGTTGTTAGTCTGTTCACAAATGTCCCTTTGGATAAAGTCATTGATATTTGCTGCGAAACGCTATATCATCGCTCACTATGTCCGCCTGGCGAGTTACGTGAAGATTCGTTCCGCGAAATGATCCGCTTGGTAACGTCAGGTGTGGAGTTTTCCTTTGATGGTGTCATGTATCGACAGATTGATGGTGTTGCTATGGGTTCGCCCCTTGGTCCTGTTTTGGCAAATATATTTGTTGGTTATTACGAATGTCAGATTCCGGTTAGTTTGATGCCCCCATTGTACGTGAGATTTGTCGATGATTCTTTCTCGTATTTTCAGTCTGAGGCTCAGTGCCTCCAATTTCGTGATCTGCTGAGGAAGGTTGTTGATGGTATGTTGGATTTCACGTGTGAATTTGAGGAGTCAGATCGTCTACCTTTTCTTGATGTGCTCGTTGAGAAGTCAATTGATGGTGGTGTTGTCACGTCGGTCTATCGCAAGCCTACGTTCACTGGCTTGTACATTGTTTGGGATTCGTTTTGCGCGACACTGTATAAGATCAATTTGTTGCGTAATTTGGTGGATCGTGCACGTCGCCTTTGTTCGTCTTCAAGGTTGGAGCAGGAGTTGGAGAAGTTACGTGCGCTTTTTCGTCTCAATGGATACCCCGAGTCTGTTATTGTGAAGTATGTAACTGAAACCAGTCCAAAGAAGAATGCTGAAGTTTCCACTAATCCAGTATACCTATGTTTACCGTGGAAGGGCGAGTCAGTATCACGTATGGTTCAGCGTCGGGTTAAGTCTGCCGTGGAGTCCAATTACCATAATGTTCATATTCGCTTCATCTACTCCACGGTGCGTGCGTTCACGGTGAGGAAGGACGTCCTACCTACAGGCCAATTATCCAAGTTGATTTATCACTTCGAGTGTCGGCAATGTGAGAGCCGATATGTAGGTAGGACTCTTCAACATCTGGACGCACGCATCCGACAACACGCACCGCTACACCTTATTCCACAACACGCACGATCCACTCGACCACGGAGGGGACGTCCAGCAAAGAATCATCCTGGTACAAGATGGTCCAACGCAGCGGCATCAACACCAAGCAACGTCACCTCACAATTAACTAGACCACCAGAAAAACAACCGGACAAGACACCTACGTGCGTGGCAGTGACAGGAACCGCATCAACCAGAAGAATGACAAGATCGGCAACGGCGGCGATGGCAGCGACTAAAGCACAGACAGAGGCAACGGCTAGGGTCCACTCGACTAGCCATGTGAAATCGGATGTGTCCACCGCACATGCTGATTGTTCTGATGTTAGTTCTGATAAGTATGAGTCGTCCATTGCTAGTCATTTGTTTGAGCATCCTGATTGTCGTGCTGTGTATTCGGATGATTGTTTTTCGATTGTGTCACGTGTACGCAGTGCTAGATTGCTGAATGTTTTGGAAGCTGTATACATCCACACAAGGAAACCCAACCTTTGCAAGCAGAAACAAATCAAATTCACACTTAGGCTGTTAGGTAGGTCGTCAAAACCTCGTTAGTTATATGTATGTCCAGTGGTTGTCTCTTGTTGTCGCACTACATGTCGCGCTTATTGAGTTTTCTCGCATTTGCACCTTTGTGTCATTATTGCAATTTTCGCTGTTTACTTTAGCTATCTTCTTTCTTTCTTTCTTTCTTTTTGCGCTATTTTACCACCTTCTTACTGTATTTAATCCACTGTTCCTGTTCCTTTTCCCTTGCCTGTATTTCACCTGATGAGAAGGCTTGAAAGTATACTTGTGAAGACAAAAACTTTCAAGATGTTTGTAATGAGCCTGAAGTGTGTCCTTTTTATGAGTATTATCGCATTTTTGTCTCAGAGGAAACTGTTTACCTATTATTATTATTATTATTATTATTATTATTATTATTATTATGAAATGACCCAAAGGCAATGTGCCTATCGAGGGGTTCATTTGATTGAAAGAACAGTAGATGTAGAATTATGTACAAAGACAAGTAGGGATTGATGAGGAGAGAAATAGGGAAAATCAACTGCAAGGTGGCGGAATTCCGTTGATTGCATAAGCATGGTCAGATGTAAATTTCCTGAGTATTGACTTCGTACCTGGTCAGTATAGGAAATAAAACCTCGTAAAAGACCTCGGCTTCGCCTCGGTCTTTTACTCAGCTTTTATTTCCTATTGACCTCTTATCCCATGGTACGAAATGATTTGGGCCATTTCAGCCAATCAGCGACCGTTCTGAGCGGGGGTTGAGCGATATACCCCGCCGGGGTCAATAATATACCCCGCTGGGGTCACAATCGTGCGAATATTCCCCGGGTCACGCCAATAAAGGAGATTTTAGTGCTGGTCACGCTCTATTTGGGACAGTTATTATTATTATTATTTTGCTTGTTTGCGTTGGCATCAACCTGCATAAAGCAGGTATATAGCCTTCGCTTAAGCTGCCGTAAAAAAGAAAGCTCATCCTAAGCGAGAGGGCTAGAGGGAAATATAACGATAACGAGATACAGAATACAAAGAAATCCAATGAGTTCAACGTACAATTCAAAACAAGAAAGAAAGGAAAGAAAAACAGAGCCGAATCTACCGATTGATCCATCAATCGACAAAGGGGACTAATGGGGCTGTTAAGTGATGACGTCACAGTTCCTTCGATACGCATAACAACGATCCCACTGGGGACAAACAAAAGTAGCGTCGTCTCCACCGAACCAGTTGTCAGTGGCAACATATATAATCGTGTACATTTCTTCGTTTCTTCTTTTCTGTTTTCAGTGAGTGTTTTGTTTTCTCTTTGTCCTTGATCTCGACGATGTTGTCGTGCTCACCTTACTGAGACGTCTCTTGTGACTGTAGCTAGGCACCGGCGGATTATGCGGGCAGAAAACATTGGCAGAATTCGGTACTTTTTCGGGTAAGTTTCATGCATGTTTGGTATGTGGATAAAGAAATGGAGCAGAATTCGAGCAATTTCCCGCCATAAGGTTTGTATGGTTCTGCCAATTTCACTGCTTTTCGAGCAGAATCTGCCACCTTTTCGAGCATTATCCGCCGGTGCCTAACTGTAGCCAGTGTCACGGAGGATTTTATTGGCGTGACAAGGTAGATCGCCGAGATCGAGCGTGAAAAACGCTCTGCATTAGTAGCTCCTGTAGAATGTTTTCTGGGTTGGCGTACCCATGGTCAACAAGGCCAAGGTGCAAGACAGCATAAGAGATCGTGTAAACGATGTGAACTCCAAAAGGTAAGCTCCTGAACAAGTGGAAAGATATGGGTATTTACAAACTCTCTCTTCATCCATCGATTGCCGCTATGCATTGCATTTTGTCTTCACAGATAATCTGGCCAAATTTATTGTAACTAGAGATTGCAATCGTGCTTGGGGCCCATCCCAATGCCATCACATGGCTGTGGTGACTAGTGTATATCTGGGAGAATTTTTCCTCGACTGATACGGAGTGCAGGTGGATCGATTATGAGAAATGCGAACATGTGAAGTAAGTAATTAGTTGTGTCGAAGAAATGTGCAATAAAATAAAATTTACTTTACACTCAAACATACACTGTACATGTACATGTAACATCATGATAATGATTCCATCTTCATTGTCCCGCAACTGGTACACCATAAGCACCGAATACATGGTGTGTGTGCGCGCGCGCAAGCGAGCGCATGTACATGCACACACTCTCATGCGTGGCCGAGTCGTCCAGATGAACAGACCATGCATTTGCACGAGGTGTCATTGGAACGCTGTACTTTATGACTTTATTCCAAAAGAGTATGTCTTGCCCCTGACGAATGGAGTTGTGTCTGTGCTCAGCGGGTATCGGGCTATGACGCAACACTGCAATCAGCGCTGCAATTAAAAGAGCACTGCATGGATTATTTTGACTGGCTTCCTTTGCGTTTACTTGGTTGAGCCCGTGGTTTCATTTCGGTGTTCTGTCATGATTGGCCTCTAGAAATAATCAGAGTGGATGTCATTTTGCCATAAATGTGTGCCTTGTGCGACAGGTTCAAGGCTAGATGCACTTCACATTCGGCGTGCGATCTCAGCGTCTGAAAGCTGATGAAGTCTTGGTTGGATGATTATTCAAGCCTGATACTACTCGACACACCAATGTTCATGTCAATGTAATTTTTTCAGAGCTGCACTATTCACGTGTTGATGCTTACTTCGGTGTTAGCGTGTTTCCCCCGGATTGTTTCTATCATCATGATCGTGTGTTCTTGGGCTGAGCGAGCACATGCACAAGTGTGCAGCTATAACCCTGTGTATCTTTGGTTACACTTTGTTCTGCAATGCATGTACCTTGTAACATTATGTGCTTGCACTGCTTTGTCTGGCCTGCGAATTTCAGGACTATTCAGTGCATTAGACCCAGGTTTGTTTGGTTGCCGGATGATCTCTTGTTGCGTCGCTCTGTATTTGTATTCATCAATTTTTGGGCTTGAGAACTGAGCTGTTGTGTGGTTCCCAATATGAAAAATCATGCTGGTGCTCTGTGTTTCGATTATCGACTGTCGGAGCAGTCATGCATTTATTAGCAAAACGGTCAATACTGTAGTCTTTTCACGTGTTTGTCTTTTTTGTGTTTTCGCTGGGGGTATTAGCGGGAACGTTGCACACAGAACGGCAGTGTTGCATCACTGGACGACCCTGCCTCTGCATCTGACTTAATTTCCGCAGGATCTGGTGCAGTTACACCAGACAGCCACTTCCTGTAAACACGCAAACAGCAAAAGAAGAGATCCCGCAAATCAGGAAAAACCATTGCGGAAAATATAGAGTAGATCATACAACATTCAATAATCTGGAGTAATTACAGTGAGACAAACACTTCAAACAGTGCTCTCTCTCTCTGTCTCCATCCTTCCAAAAATACCCTATGACAATTCCCTAGAATTATTTTATTTTATATTCTTAGGACATCATTCTGAACATAATAAATTCTTCCATGGGTCTTCAATCACCACGGAGGGCGAAAATATATTATCTAAGTCATGCAGTTTACGGGAGGTGCGAGCTGTCATGGATGTAGAGGCTGATATTGTGCCAGCGTGAGGGCAGAGACAGAAAGAAGACACTGATTTTATGCTCACCTACATGTATATATAATCGAATCCACAAGGAGCGCTCATACTTTGATCCATCAGGACGCGAAACATCTTCAAAGCACTCTCAAACACGGATTTTTACTGTGGGCAGCCAATTTCACAGCCATAATGAAGACACTCGACGACTACAGGAGTTTTGTAGAGGAAAGAACAAAGAGTAAAGAGCGACAACGATCGCTTGAAGAAAAAGCAAAGAAAAGCTGCTGTCTCTCCAGTCATTTAGATGCTGTTGCCCTTGACATCTGATTCCATCCAGAGGACGCGACTTTTGTTTGTCCCCAGTGCTCTCCGTTGCTATGCGTATCGAAGGAGCCGTGACGTCACACTTAACAGCCCCATCCGTTAATGTTGCAAAGTAGAAGCTGATTATAGTTGCAGATCTCCAGGCCAGGGCCAGCATATTGCCGATTCTGGATAGCATTTGATGTGGTAATTATTATAATGTTTGATAAAATTGTTAGAGTATCTAGTATCTAGAGTATCTAGTGTAATTGTGTAGCGTTGGCACGCTAGTAACTTACACAGCTGCAGCGTGTCTTTCAATGTATTGGTCACGCGTGTTACACCGCACCCGTACCCCGCACTTGCAACTCTGTACCGTGCTTGCAGATCCATGACATGGATAGTAACTAGTCTCACTGCGTTCAATGTTTCATATTGACCTTAGAAATATTAGTCTAGACCTTTTGCTGCACTTTCAACCACCTCTCTTACGCCCATTGCCCACACTGCTATTCAGCTCCTTCTTCTGCATAGAATCAAATGGCACTCCTTGTGCAATGACTGTAGCCCACACAACATACTTTGACCTTTCTTCTTCTCTCTGCTGAGCCTTTGCCGTGACCATTGCTGTTGCAGCACGTATGCTGTCTGCCTATAAAAGCTGCTGTTCACAATGCTCTATACGCCAGTTAGAAACTACAGTTAGAAAGGCCAGTTAGAAAGGCCAGTTAGAGATACCAGTTAGAACCTTCTTTATGTCAGTTTTAGAGTTAGAGTCAGAGTTAATGTTTACAATGTAGTCTTCCGTTTAGTTCAGTAATAATTTTAAAGCAGTGTGTTCACTGAGACCCGTCTGCATTTGCCTCAGAGAGAGAGACTGCGGCCCGTTACAATTGTATCCGTTATTATTGTTAAAGGTATCTAGTGTAATTGTATAACTTCAGCCATTACACACAGCACACATTAGTTCCTTCCACTTTCGACAATCCTGGGCGAGCTGCCTCAGTGCAACTAGATCCTCGTGTGATGTGAGGGAGTTTGTGGATCTGGAATTTTTCAGGTCGTTGTTGATGGATCGCGGGAGGGTTGTTCTCGGGCGGCCTCGGAACCCTGAGCTTCCTGGCTGAAAGTATGCTGACATAGCCTGCTGGACCGGGGATGAGGTGTCTAGTCGGAGCATGTGGCCAAGCAGTCTCCACCTAGCAGACTGGATGATTCTGCTGAGTGGCTTGGAGCCAGTGCGCTTGTACAGTGCTTTGGGACAGTACATGGGATAAATGGATTACACCGTTCGTACTCTGTGTATATACCGTGTCCCTTATTATTTTACCTCGTGCTAATTCACTCGTGAAAATATTCGGCGGTATACCCCTCGTAGACCTACTCATGGGATAATCCATACGTACTCAGTCAATATTAGATACATTATTATCAAGAGTGCATAAACAAAAACTGTTTATGGACTTACTAGTATACAAAAGAGAAAGACCAAGGAACTACAAGTTACGCTATAATGTCCACTAACACTACCAGTTACTAAACAATCAGCTCATGGGATAAAATTGCACGACACTGACCGACGGTACTGACGTTCTACAACTAACTGGCTAACAGCTCTAGCACATCTTGGATACGCACTCCAACAGCCTTCCAACTTGGAAGGTTCTAAGTTATAGAAATAACATAATAATCAGGTTCGGCCTCATTTCCTCTGTGCTGCGCTGATGAGTTCACAAAGAACGAAACAGCATGCTGTCCGCAGATTGAGTATTTTCGCTCCTGCTCTTGTAGTAGTTGAGCACTCTCATGTGGGGTAGTGCCTTTGCTGTTTGCATTACGCAGAGCTAAATGACTTGTCAGTTTGAGCACTCTGGCAAGGTACGTTCGGGCCTGATTGGAAATTTTTATTTCCATTGCTATCAGGTTCGGCCTCATTTCCTCTGTGCTGCGCTGATGAGTTCACAAAGAACGAAACAGCGTGCTGTCCGCAGATTGAGAAATAACATAATTGTATAATTAAACCTCGGCTCTCCATCTGTGTTTATGGACTCTTGATATGATATCTCAGACCAAGACTACATAACCCCCCATGTACTCTTGCTCAGACTATACACTCGGTTCCTTGTTATAAGTTTTTTTTTTTTTTTTTTTTTTTTTTTACTACGTTCACATAACCAGCTCGAAAAGAATAAGGAAAGACAATGGTACGGAGACTAGGACAAATGTGACAACTAATGAGCAGGCGCTGCACCGAGACGCAGCAGTGATGGTGGGGCATTGATGACTCTGCCGACCTGAGGTCTCGGCGTCACGGCCAAAAACACGCACCAAAAACAATGAAAAAAGAAGAAGATAGAGCTGTACAGGTGAGAAAGATGCAAAAACCCAAGGCTTAACACGAGCGATTGTGGGGGAGAAACTGTCTTAGCGTCATACTATTCATAGGGAATCGACTGCCCAGAGCCAGTTTGTGCTGCGAAGATGGCGGTAAACATTCGTTTTGAATGATTGCATTCTCTTGCTGTGGGGAGGCTGGGATAGGAGAGCTGCAGGGAGGGAGTTCCAATCGCTGATGCTGCAGTGTGGGAACGAGCGCTTCAGTGCCAGCGGGGCAGATGCAGGCAGCTGGTGTTGGAGCTGGTGGTCATGGCCACTGACAGCACCGTGCTCGCTGCGAGTTCTGGGGTTGGTAGAGATGATGTGGCGCGGTGGCAACACAGAGAGCAGCTGCGGAGGACCAGGCAAGTAGTGCAGCTTGTACAGGCAGGCAAGCGAGGCAACAGTGCGGCGGATGGCCAGGCTGGGTAGGTGTGCCCCAGGGCCGATAGCATGAGTAAAGAATAGGTATCTAATATTGACAGAGTACGAGGTCAATATGAAATAAAAGCCGAGTAAAAGACCGAG